GGGGGGGGGAAGTGCAACAGTTGTAGGGAAATGCGGAGGGCGTGATCCATGGGATTTCTTTCCGTGGCCTCAGTATATTGGCATGTGTCTGTACATAGCTTTATCTGAATCCAGATACATTTTGAGACAAGCATTGCGACACGTCTTAATTACGCAGTTGGCCTCATGGGCCGTCGGTGAACAATGCCACGTTAATGGAATATTCTAATTTAGGATAAGCCTACAAGCAGCAAAATGCTGTAATGTTGCAGAATAAATCTTACGTCACATATGTCACGTTGGTCCTCCTGTTCTTTGACTTTGACAGTTTCTTGGCAGAGGGCAAGAGTACGATAAGCCGGCACAGTTTTCCATAAAACCCCACGTCGGGGGTGGGGGGACAAAAGACAGAGAAAGACCTAAATATGAGATCATATCAGATGTTCATGTGGTAATATTTTTGCAATATTTTAATCTTTGTATGTTTCTAAATTTCGCTAGCGGGTAGGCTTGCCCGCCTCTTGTCAGGTCTGAATATCTGTGGATATTTTTTTTTAAAGACCATGAGTTCCAGCCCGACCTCCTAAAGCGCACATTCCTGTTGCACAGACTTCCAGTCCTATAAATCATGCACTATTAGTGTCTTAGTTTATTATCTGATAATGAAATGCAGTTCACTCAATGTCTGTTGCACAGATGGCCGTGGGCTCGAATCCTACTACTCAGTTCTCTTATTGGTTGCAGTTGTAAATACATTACAAGATATTATGATGATGATGATGATTATTATTGTTATTATTATTATTATTATTATTTACTTTTTAAGTAGAATTTAAGTGCAGATTTTGTCGAAGTTGGTTTTGACGGATATAACCGTAAAGTTTCGCACCGTCTCCATATTTGGCATGCTGACATATGTATGTTATGTAGGGTTTGAGGTTCTCACAGCGGTGGCTAGGAAGAGTTCTGTCTTCTGAGATATAGCACCTTGTAGTCCGTCGAAAATCAGCCGACCTTTCTGGGGAACATATCGCCTCCGTCTTCAGGGTTGAATAAGCCGAGCAAGACACCAACTTGAAAGCACGTGGGTAGCCGAGTAATCAGCTGGCCGGAAATCTTGAATTAATTAGGAACCAGGAGAGAAAGGGAAGAGTGGACCTCAGTTCCCATTGGCTCACCCGTGGGACAGAATGAAACCGCTGGACGCTTTCACGCTGATATCTTGCTCGGCTTATTCGACTGTGAAGATGGAGGCGATATGTTCTTCCGAAACGTCAGATTACTTTCAAGAGACTACACGACATTATTCCAGAAGATAGGACTCTTCATATATACATTAATCATACGTTATTTGTATTGTACATGTATTAATTTCATACAAGGCATCATATTGCTGTTTTCAATAGTCCATTAATAATCTCGGGAACAGGGATAGTCCAGTCGGGATATGGACGGACTACAGGCTGGACCGCCCGGAGGCAGGGCTGGTCACGGTAGCCGAGCATGTACCGTCTTCGCTCGCTCGGGAGCCGGGATCGTGGGTTCGAATCCCATACAAGGCATGGATGTTTGGTGTATGTATACGTTTATTCTGTGTTTGTGTTGTCCTGCAGAGCCCTTGCGTCGAGCTGATCACCCGTCCAAGGAGTCATACGGTCTGTAAAAAAAAAGATCAATGAAACTGAGAAATCAGCCCTGTGCTCTCAAGTGGGAGCAAGAGGAAGAAAAGAAAAAAGCGACTGGGGCCTGAAGCTGACCGCTCACCTCCATTTCATGGCATAGTGCGTAACTAAATAAGCACAAGGAGAACTTTACCTTCAATTTAATAATCTCTGTCAAACTGAAAGCAAGACGAATATACAATAGCCTTTAAGGTGTATGACTCAGTTCATGTCAACATTTTCGTACTTGCTTTTGATTCATGAAACCTACCTCCTACCGGTGCTGCTTTTTGTCTGCACATTCCGTATACGTGTTTCAAAATTTTCGATTTACATTATTTTGAGCTTTTGATAAATGTTTTAAATGGCATTCAGTAGACATACATGGGTCTATAAGGAGGAGCGGGCCGTTATTTGGTTGGCAATTTCCCTTCACCTTGTTCACTTTTAAACCTTAGCCACTAGCATTAAATGTATTCAGCAAAATACATTTTTGCACATCAGCAGCTGTATGTATAGTAACTTCCTCCCTTCCCTTCATAATGCTCTAAATGGCTTTATTAAAGCGTAAGATAAAAGGTAAAGTTGTCCCTGTGTTTAACTAATTAAGCAGTACGCCATGAAGACGTATGGGGGAGCGGATGTATAGATCCATGTTTTCTTGACCTCGGCACTAGTTGGAGGCTAGTGGTGAGCTTCACGCCCCAGCCGCTTTACCCCCGGGGATACCCATCGGATAGGAGGCTGGGTGGGCCCCAGGGTTGGTCTGGACGATATGGAGAAGTGAAAATTCTTGCCTTGACGGGACTCGAACTCTGACCCCTCTGTCGTCCAGCCCGTACCCAGGCGCTATACCGACTACGCTGTCCCGGCTCACCTGTATTAAAGCGTACCAGTTTTATTTACTTAATCTCTCGACGTTTGTAGTATAAAATTGAATTACCTTATATGTAACCAGAAAAATAATATAGTGGTCGTAGATTTATCAGTTTCATTC